TAGCCCCAGTAGGCCTGGAAATCACTATGTAGATCAGGCTGGCCTCAAACTCACAGAGATCCACCTGCCTCTGTCTCCCAAGTGCTGGGACCAAAGGTAAGCACCACCACGCCCAGCTTATTTCTGTATTTTATTTCATACCTTTGTCTGGTTTTTGTTGTTGTTGTTTTTTTTTCCATAAATACACAAAGGACTGAGAAGGTGAATCAGTGGGTAAAGTACTTGGATGCAAGTGTGAGAACCAGAGTTCTCATCTCTGGAACCCACATAAAAAGCCAGACAGGCATGTCTGTAATCCCAGAACATGGGGAACAAAGACAAGGGATCCCAGGATGAGCTAGCTGAACTTGCCAGATTCAGCAGGAGACTGCCTCAATGAATAAAGTAGAGAGCAATTGAGGAAGACAGCCGGTGGGCCCCACATGCACATACACAACACATACTCTCACACACATGCCAACACGCATGCATACCACATATACATACCCAGACCAAAAAAGATGCAAGGGTTCTACAGTTGGAAGTTAACCCGACCACTGCTCCATTGACAAATCATCATGGCCGTACATCCCCTGCCTTTTAAAATGCTAGAAGTGATATGGCAGCATTGCAGAAGTACAGAAAATTATGAAGTAGAAGGAAATAGGTACCTCAGCTGTCCCTGCCCCAATCTTGACAGGCAGTTGGACCTTGGGCAGATTGTCTCTGCACCCAGTAAGTATAAAGCTTGGAATAGTAATGTGGCTGCTCCATGGGGCTTTGCCACTGCAAGAGAGAGCACATGAAGACATAGAATGGTAATAGTGCCTGCTTCACAGGGCTTTGCTGGGACTAACAGCACAGAGAGACTGGAGAGATGACTCAGTTGTTTAGAGCACTGGCTGCTCTTGGAGAGGACCCTGGTTTGGTTCCCAGCACTCACATGATAACTAACAGCAGCCTGTAACTCCAGTTCAGGAGATCTAAGGCCCTTCTCTGGCCTCTGCAGGCATTGCATGACATGGGTGCACTTACATACATGCAGATGAAACACTTGAACACATAAAATAAACAACTAATAGATAATAATTAATTAATAAAATAGCACATGGAAAGCATGCACACAAAGCCCATTTTAGGGCCAGTGAGATGGCTCAGAGGGTAAAAGTACTTGCTACATGAGCCTGAAGACCCGAGTTCTGTCCCCAGAAGCCACATAAAAAATCCAGATGCAGTAGCAGACATCTGTAATCCTGGGACTCCTACAAGATGAGAGATAATAGCAAGAGAGACCCTGTCTTAGCATAGTGGAAGGAGAGAACTGACTCCCGAAAGTTGTCCTCTAACACACAAGCATGCCATGGCACGTGTGTGCCCCCCCACACACACAATAAATAAGTAAATGTAATTGGAAAAGTAATCCTATGTGCATCTGTACTACTAAGAATTGAACCCAGGGCTTTGTTCATTGTAGACAAGTACACAACACTACTCCCCCCCCCCGTTTTTATGATATATCTTTTGTGGTTTTTTTACATAAATAATGTATTTTTATGTCTGTGGGTTTGTTTTTGTTTTTGTTTTGAGACAGGGTCTCATTACGTAGCATGGTCTGGCTTGGAACTTGATATGTAGACCAGCCTGGCCTCGAACTCACAAAGATCCACCTGCCCTTGCCTCCTGGGTGCTAGGATTAAAGACATGCGCCACCATGCCTGGCCTCGTTTGGTATATTCTTTGACAGTGTTTTTTGTACTTTTTTAACTGCTCATTGTTGTATGGGTATGATTACTTTTCATCTTACTATCTAAGTATGGTCTTTAGTGATGACATACTGTTCTGTGGTAGGGTATGGATATACCATTGTAGCCTACAGCTTTTCTATACCCCTCTTAGACACAGTATAAATACTGCTTTAATGAACAGTTGGGATTTTTCTTATTTTGGGGTTGCTGAGGATTGAACCCAGTATGGTTCTCACTTTTTGTTGCTGGGACAAAATGTCTGAGCAAATAAAAGAAATAATTTGTCTCATGGCTGCAGAGATTCAGCTTATGCTCAGGTGCCCGCCCCACCTTTAGGCCTGTGATTAGGCAGAAACATGGCGGAATGTCTTGGTGAGGGAAAGCCACTCATCTCATGGAAGCCAGGAAGCAGAGAGAGGAGGGAAGGAAGGGCCTAGAGACAGAGTACACCCTTCAAAAGCATACCTCCCACTAGGCCCCACCTCCTAAGTAGCTCATTCAACACTGGTAGAATAACCCATTGCTGAACTTAGCACCCTATGATCCAGTCACCTTTCAGCACCACCAGCTGAGCACAGACCTTCAACACGTGGGCTTCTTTATTTGAAACTTGATATCTAAACCCCAGTGGTGGGACCTGTGCATGCTCGGCAAGTATTGAACCACTGAGCCTGTTTTATATGTTACATGTTGTATGTCAGCTTGTCCCTGGGAAGTCTTAGATGTGTTACTTAATCTTTGCATCTTTGTTGCTGTGTGTGCTAAATGTGGATGGAATACTCTCTGCCTGAGAGGCTACATTGTAAATCAAATGAGCCAATGCAACTAATCTTGGAACAGTGCCCGGTGCCCAGCAGATGCTCAGTAAACATCACTGTCCTAGTTTGTTTCTTCATTGCTGTGACAAAATACTCTGACCACTACCAACTTGGGGAGGAAAGAGTTTGTCTTACATCTTCAAGGTGGGAACTCAGGGCAGGAACCTGGAGGCAGGAGCTGGAGCACAGGCCATGGAGGAACTCTGTTTACTGGCTTGCTTCCCTGACCCCTGCTCAGCCTACTTTCTTATGCAACACAGGCCCACTTTCCCAGGGGTGGCACCACCCACAGTAGGCTGGGCCCTCCCACCATCACTCATCAAGAAGATGCCCCTCAGACGTGGCCACAGGCCAGTCCAATAGATGTAATTCCCCAACTGAGGCTCTCTCAACCCAGGTGTGTCAAGTTGACACTAAAGCTGTCCAGCACAATCACCTCATCTCTGCTGTTGGTTCACTGAGGCTTGCTCTCTAGAGACAGGGTTTCTTCGTTGACTACTTTCCAAAACAATTTAGCAGATTTTGATGTCAGCAGCAGTATATGAAACGACCAGTTTCTTGATACCCTCATCAGCAGTGTTCCTTGGTTTTAATGGTGTAACTCACTTTTCCTGTAAATAGTAGTGAAAAAACAAATTCATCCAAATGGGGGGCTTGTTAGGACACGGTTTCACTTCTGCTCACTCCTTTGAATGGTCTGACCTCATCTATGCCGAGGTCACATTCCAGAGCCTTTTTAGAAGTCTGTTTTTCTGAGGCTCATTCTCAGCTGCATGTCCATCAAGTTATAGTATAAGTTGGTCCTTTGATGCTTAAAAAGCCAGTATATAGTATTCCTTAGGCATGTACACACTACTGGACATGGTCTTAGTCTGTTATTTGTTACTAATAACATGACATCACAGGCCGGACAGTAAAATGATGTTTGTTTTGGATCACAGTTCTGTTCTGAGGTCATTTGAGGCCACATCTGGTGGCTTTCTTGCTGACCATGTCCCAAGGTGGCACTGGGCATCAGATGGGGCTGACAGGGAGCAGGTATGTGTCTGTCTTCTATACATTCTTGTGAAGCCACCAATGTCCAGTCTTGGGGACTCAAACCCAGTGACCTTGTCAAATCCTAATCACCTCCCAAAGGCCTCATCTCCAAGCACCATGGTCAGATAAGATTTCCTTTTAGTGCCTCATGGTAGATATAGTACCTCAACACAAACTTTGGAGGGGTACACTCATCTGGCTGCAGACAGCTCTGTATTTTTTACTTTTCCCAAAACAAGCTAACAGTTTGCTCTAGGAAAACCCATTGCAGCAGGCAATGACCTCTTTGATTCCCTCACCTCCAGAAAAACGAAATGGGCATAGGAAACCATATGCCCTAGTGTAATTATCCATAGTGTTCTAGTTTGAGTGACAGTTTACATCCCTATCTTAGTCCCTGGGGTTTCCTCAGACACCATGGTGTCTGCCTGTCCTTGCCACCTTTGGACTCCTGGTAACTTTCTGTCTGCCCAACAAAGGCTTTAACCATGTAGCTCTCGCCAGGAATCCTACATGTGTCCTCCTTTCTGTTCTTTCCTTGCAGTACTGGGCTGGAACCAAAGGCCTCATGCCAGCTAGGCAAGTGCCCCACCCCAAGCCAGCCCTCTGCCCCACCCCCACCAGCCTTTTGAATTCATTCAATGGTTCCACGTTAGCACTCTTCTTCTGCCATGACTGCTGGTCATTGTTCATGGCAGGAGCGGGGCACCTCTTCATTTCAGAAGCTCCTCCAGTGAGCATAGTCATGCACACGTGTAACCAGCACTTGGGAGGTGGAGCAGGAGGAGCAAGAGTTCAGGGCCAACCTGGGCTACAAGAAACCCTGTCTCAAAAAAGCCACAACAAAGTGAAAGTTGTTCTTGGTCCTTCAGAATTAATTGTTTTGCCCTCAGTTCATCCTCTGGCAAATGGTACATTCCCTCCTTTCTCACCACGTGTAATTTTTAAAGTTGCATCTGCTTTCAACTTCTTCTTAAATGTAAACTTTCTTACTAGGACTTCTAGCACACTGCTCTTATCAAATGTCATAGGCTACGTTCATGCAGTGCTTTAAAAGTTCTGCTTGTGAGCAGGTTGGTGATGAGTAAGCGGTAGCAAGGACAGATCTAGAGTGACAGTAAATAGTTGGCCATGGGCAGGGTCTTCTGCACTGGAAAAACAGAAACAAATTCTCACAGCTGATTATCCTGTGTGACTAGATAGCTAGCTGTGCCTTAGCACATAGGGCTTCCTGGCTGGAGAGGCTTTTTTTCCACCAAGATAAATGCTTGACCTTGTGTAGATTGCCGTTTTAAAGAGGAAGAGCAGGTGTCACGTGAGGGCCCTGCCACACTGGATCAGTGAGTGGCCCATGTGGGGCTTCATAGATGAGTGTGTGGGTTCTTAATGCAAGACTGACTTTTCTGATTGTTTTCACTAGGTGACTTTCGAATGGTGATTGGAGAGGAAAAGACAAAAGTGTTAAACATCGTGAAGCCCAATGTAGAGCACTTCCGTGAACTCTATGGTACTATACTACAGGAGAACCCCCAAGCATTCTATAAAACCCAGCAAGGCCGACTGGAGGTGAGCTGTCCATGGACAGGAACTCCTGTTTCCCAAAAGCCAGGGCCTCACGCATGCTAGGCATATGCTCTCCCACTGAGCTTCATCTCACACCTTCTTTTTGCCTTTTGCTTTGACACAGAGTCTCTCTAAGTTGTCCAGGACGGTTTTGAACTCTGACACCCACGTAGGCCTTGAATTTGCAATCTTCCTGCCTCAGCCTTCTGAGTAGCAGGAATTACAGGCTTGTGCCACCAGGCCTATTGGCAAGAGATATTATTATTAATTTTTTAAGTTAGCAAAGTAAAATGTTTCATTATGATATTTTCACACATATGTTTGTTTATATTTTTTATTCATATCCCCTCCACCCCATGCAACCCACTGTGGCCAGTTCTGTTTCCTCCCCCAATTAGTCCTCCCTTTTCCTTTCTTGGTACATGGATTCCATTATCTTCTCTCTTTTTCACTTTAAGATTTTTCTCCCCTTTCTAGGTTCATGACCTACACACACACACACACACACACGCACGCACGCACGCACGCACGCACGCACACACACACTTTAAATCTGGGTTCTGCAAATAAGAGAAAATGCTCATCATTTATCTTTCTGAGTCTGGCTTACTTCACTTACTATATTAATTTCCAGTTCCGTCCATTTGTCTGCAATTGTCATGATTTCATTTTTCTTTATGGGTGCATAAAATTCTATTTTGTGTCTGTACCACATTTTCTTTTTCTTTTTTTTTAAGACAATCTCATATAGCCGAGACTGGCCTTGAAGTCCCTATGTAGTCCAGAATGGCCTTGAGCTCATGATTCTCCTGCCTCCACCTTCTGAGTGCCAACATCACAGGCATGCGCCATGCTGCCCAGTGTGTGGAACCCAGTATTTTTGCATGCTAGATGAGTGCTTTACCAATGGAGCTACATCCCCAGCCCTGTACCACGTTTTCTTTATTCATTCATCAATTGTTGGCTATCAAAGCTGGTTCTGTTTCCTGGCAGTTGTGAATGGTACATACAGTAATATACATAGATGTGCCCAGTATTTCTGTGGTATATACCCAAGAATGGTAAGGCTGGGTCTTTTGAGAACTGTCTATTCATTTCGTTAGCCCTTTTGTTGATGTACCTGCCCTATATTGCTCACTAGTGACATTATGTCATTGATTGTCTTCTAACCTCCATATGCACACTGTGGTGGGTATACTCATACCTGTGAATAAATTCATGTTATTTTTTGTTTTTAAAGGAAAGTGTATTATATCACTAATATTATAGACAAATATGAAACACAGAATATCCAAGTAGTCTGGTTTCCTTCAAATACTTTACAACAGAGGATGTAAAAGTAAGCCTATCCCTGAGGCAAATCCCAAGGTGTAACTGTTGTTTCTTCCAAAAAAAAACGTGAGCTGATCTGGTCCTCTTTCCCATAGGAGTGGAAAACAGTCCATTCATTGCCCATATCTGTAGCTTCAGATACACAGCTGTAGCTCTATTGATCTGTCTTAGAAAATTTACCGTGTTTAACACTGCACATACAGTTGGGGTTTCTACTTGTTTGAGTTTTCAGCAGTCTGCTATAACCCACTGGGATCCACTTAGTTTTTGTAAAGGGCAGACTTCATAAGGATGTGATAGGAACCATCAGCCCTTATTTATGAGGATTCTCCAGAGAGACAGAACTATTAGGGTGATAGAAGGTGGGTTAGAGAGTGAGAGAGAGAGAGAGAGAGAGAGAGAGAGAGAGAGAGAGAGAGAGAGATTGACTATAAGGAATTGGTTCATATATTTATGGGGTTGGCAGGTTTTAAGTCTGTAGGGCAGGCCAACAGGCTGGAGACCCAGGGAAGAGTTGATGCTGTAGCCCAAATCTAGAGGCAAACTGCCTCCTTCAAAGGACCTTGGGCTTTTCTCTTACATCCTTTAGCTGATAGTTGAGCCTACCTCTATGCTGGAGAGTTATCAAACTGTATTTAGTCATCTGATCTAAATGCTAATTGCATCTTATATATAACTTCCCCATCAGCATCTGGTTGGTGTCTGACCAGTGGCTGAGCACTGCAGACTAACCAAGGTGGTACTCATCTCTGCCATCCCTCCCAGGATGTGGTTTTACTTTTTCTTTTTGCTTCAGTCAAGAGAGACTGATGGCGTTGGAGGCTTCTATATGATGCAGCCCCAACATGTCTCCTTGGAGTCTCCTTACAGGGCCACTCTTACTGCCAATCTTAGAAATCAGGTCAAGCAGATTTATACCCAAGGGCCTCCTCTGATCCTGTTGAGGGTGCTGTGGAGCTACAGGGCCTCCAGAGTTCTCCCAGCTCTGGGCAGGAGGCCAGGCCAGGCCTTTGTACTTCTTGCATTTCCTGGTTAGTAGATGCTGGCAGCTCCTGCCTGAAGTCAGGAAGGGATTCTGGGAGGAGACTGAGCCTGTCTTCGCAGGTAGTTAGTAGGATGCCTGCCTGGACTGTTTTATTTGTTTTGTTTTTGTGGGCTTTTTTGAGACAGGGTCTCCCTATAGCCCCAGCTGACTTGGAACTCACTGTGTAGACCAGGCTGGCTTTAGTCTCAGCCTTTGCCTCGAGTGCTGGGATTAAAGGCGAATGCCACCACACCCAGCTGGTTTTGTTTTGTTTAATTATTAGTGTGTGTATGTATGTGCATGGTGCGTGGGGGGCATACTTAGGACTTTATGGAGTTGTTTCTCTCCTTCTACCTTTATCTGGGTTCCAGGGTCAAACTCAGGTTACCAGGCACAAGGCTGAGCCATCTCACCAGCCTCTGAAGCTGTTTTTTTTCTTTGAAGTTAAAACCTAAACATTTGTTAAAAGAACAGAAGAGTGATCCTTCCTTGGACAGTATTGTGAACAAGCTGCTGTGGGCAGAACTGTTGGTTATGCATGAGGTAGACAGGCAGAACAGAACTGGTGTGTTGCTTTTTTGTTGTTGTTGTTGTTGTTGTTGTTTTTGTCTTTTTGAAGCAGGGTCTCCCTGTAGCCCCAGCTGTCCTGGAACTATGTAGACCAGGCTGGCCTTGAACTCACAGAGATCAGCCTGCCTCTGCCTCCCAAGTGTTGGGACTACAGGCATGCACTGCCATGCCCGGCTCGCTTTTGTATTTTTAAAAATTTTATTCCACAAAGCAAAATATACTACATTTGAGTGAGATTAGTCTCTGTCATCAGTGTGTTTGTACTATTGTTTATGAACTGCAGCATGGTATAGAAGAGGCCCCAAGGGCAAGGAACACAAATTCAGATCCCATCGTCTCTTACTCAGTCTTCCTGCTTTTAGTGAGAAGATCCAGAGTCTCTGGATTTGACCTGCTTGTTAGCTGCACAGCCCCACCTCATTTAACTACTGGACTTAACCCAAGTAGAACATTTTAAACTACAGGTTAGAAATTTATTCCTAAAAGAAAGTTCTCTTATTTTCTTACTAGAAGTGGAATATTCTAGGAACAGATTTGTCCTTTTTGAAGAGACTTATAGTCTCAACCATGTAAACATTCAGATTCAGAAAGGGGGAAATGACCTTCAGATCCCAGCTGGTATAGGTGTGGTGCTATGTTTGTGTGATTTGATTTGATTAGAAGGAAGAAATTGTATTTAATTACATAGGTACGTATGTGTGCATGGGAGTCCCAAATGAGATTGCTGTTTATATGATTTTAAATCAAGCAACATGTCTGATTATATACTATTCATAACACTTCTGTGGACATCATATCTCTCTTTTTCTCTCTCTTTTCTTAGATAGATAAAAGCCCAGAAGGACAATTCACTCAGCTAATGACATTGCCCAAAACCTTACAGCAACAAATAAACCACATCATGGACCCTCCTGGGAAAAACAGAGACGTGGAAGAAACTCTGCTACAAGTTGCTCATGATCCTGACTGTGGGGATGTGGTGCGGCTAGGTATGTTCTGAGTTTAGTATTGAACAAGTGTTGGCTGTGGGCAAAAGCAGCCTCTGTTTGTCATTGAGACGTATTGTTTCTTCTGTCTTGCCTAACGAGATCAAGAGAGAGATTTTGTTTGGGGAGAAGAAAAGCATGAACAATTTGGGGTTTTTCAAATCTCAGTGTTTACTTGCTTGAAGCAAAGTAGTGGAGAAGCTCCTTTTTCAGATTCCTGGGTCCTAAATCACTATTGGAGGGATAAAGAATGCATATCAAGCCTGGCGTGGTGGCGCACACTTTTAGTCCCAGCACTTGGGAGGCAGAGGCAGGTAGATCTCTGTGAGATTGAGGCCAGCCTGGTCTATATAGCAACTTCTGGGCCAGCTGTGCCTACTGGGAGACCCTGTCTCAAAAAAAACAAAAACAAACAAAAAGAATGCATATCTTCTAGATGTTATTTGAAAGATGTGTCTGTCCCTCATGGTGATCTGAGAAGGAAGGAGATCAGCAGTTTTAAACTTGCATTAATATCGGCCAGCTTTTGTTTGACAGGTCTCAGGCTGTGTCCAGCAGATCCCTTCTGATGCAGCCATGTTTCTCAACATTCACCCCAGGTGTTTATCAAAACCTGTTTATTAAAAGATCCAGACCTTTGTGGTGCTGGAGACCTGTAATCCCCGGCTGAAGCTGGAATTTTGCCACTAGTTCAAGGCTTACCTGGGCTACATAGTGAATTCATGGCCAGCCTACACTAAGTAGCAAGGCAAGGCTCTGTCTTGAAAAACAAACAACAGAAAAATCCCAACCTTATCGTCAGTGACCTACCTCTTTCTGAAATGGCAAAGATCAGTTGGGAAAGAAAGAATTATGAAGTTGAGAACAATCCCATCTATTAACTTCATGCATTTTCATGCATTCACTCAGTAAATATTTACTGAGCCCCTCCAGGTGTGAGCCTCTGTGCAAGATACAACTTGGAGTAAGGATTTTGAAGGGTAGCTCATAGCTGAACATCAGCCAATGGGCCAGCTGTACTCTCTCTCTCTCTCTCCCAGGAACCTGCACCAGGTTTCCAGAGCACACACTGATACACCCTACTCTCGGGCTAGGAGACACATTGTTGGTTTCATTGTGATGGTCCTGTAGCAGTGGGTTTGCTGGTACTGTGGCTCTTTGCTTAAATATTCTGTTCTATTCATGTGTTTTTACAATAGAAGGTTTTTCTACAAAATAAACATTTTGTTTATTTTTTTTTCACATCTTAGAACTGAGAACCAGGAGCTTTAAGGAGATTTAAATTCCTAAGATGACTTTTGAGGGTCACCTACCACCCCTCTTGTTTTAAGGTGAGGTGGCCCAATTCCTGAGCAGTTCAGCCATTTGCCAATGGTCACACAGCTGGGCCAGACCGCAGCTGGCCACCACAGTGTCCTAGTGCTCTGTTCTAACACCCTTTTCACCATTGCTCACCAACACCAAGACAGAGCTCCATTTTCTGGTTCTAGCCAATGGCTGGAAAGAATACTGCATTTCAGATTTTAAGACCATTCAGTTGACTACCATCTGTTTGGGGTTTTCTTGATATTCTTTTGGGTTTTTTCTCCCAGGGCTCTCAGCAATCGTCAGGCTTTCTAGCATCCGACAGAGCACCAAAGGCATTTTTACTGCTGGTAAGTAAAAAATCCATCCATGATGTAGCTGCCGGCTGAGTATAAAGTTTCATGTACATCTTCCCTGTACTATACAGTGCTCAGTTTTTATGGCTGCACTGCAGGACTTTACCTTATTGTAGACTCCATCGTACCCATAGTGTGATCTGGCCATAAAACAAGCCAGACCATTTGAGGTGCTATCCAAAGGCTTTGCTGTTCCTCTCAATTCTTCACATAACTCTTAAGTGGTTTCTTTTTTCTTGCATTTTTATATTTATTGAAGTCACACCTGCAAAACATTGCAAAAACAGCAGTGTTGAATCCTCCCTCTTCACAGCTACTTCCAATCAGAGCGAGCTATTTTTGTTTTTTCTGCCATTCCTGTACTGAATTTATGTTGCTCCTTCTCTGCTTTCATCAAATCTATTGAAGTAAAGATCTTCCCACCACTTGGGAAGGCACACAGTTTTGTATCTCTAACTAAGATAATGACGAAGTCCATGTTCTCTCTGGTCTGTCCTGACAAGACTGGTGTGAAGCGCCTCTGTTTGCCGGCGTGGTCAGGCTGTTGATATGGGTTTTGCCTGATGTCTGCTCCTTTGCCATGATCCTCCTTGGGTGAAGCTTAAAGATTGGTTTTATTGAGTTGAGGCTTCATGTGCTATAAATAATTTTTCTTATGCTTTTAGTTGTGACAGTGGTGTTATTGGGGTTTTTTAAATCCTATTCCTTCAAGACACATGCTCAAATACTTAGGGATAAAATGATATGGTACCTGGGATTTGCTTTATAATAAAATGGTGGTGGGTAGGGGACACAGGATTGCTTCTGATCTGGTGTATTGTTGAAGGCAAATAAAGATATGTCAGGATGTGTCTTTATTCTGCTACTCTGTAAGGGTCTTTTCCTGTCTAGCCTTGAACTTGCTATGTAACCAAATTTGAACTTTTTAAAAAAAAATTATTTTATATGTATGGGTGTTTTGCCTGCATATATGTAAGTGCACCTATGTTGTGAAATACCCACTGAGGCCAGAAGAAGGGATCAGATACCCTGGAACTAGAGTTATAGATGATTGTTAGTTGCCATATGAGTGTTGGAAACCAAACCCCAGTCCTCTGGAAAAGCAACCAGTGCTCTTAACCGCTGAGCCATCTCTCCAGCCCCGACTTTGAACTTTTGATCCTCCTGCTGCCACCTCTGGTGTGCTGGGATTACAAGTACGTACACCTGGCTTTATGTGGCGCTAAAGATCAAACCCAGGGCCTTGTTCATGCTAGGCAAGCAGTCTACCAAATAAGCTACATTCCCAGCTCTTATTTTTGTTTTATGAGACAAGGTCTTGCTGTGTAGTCCAGCTGGTGATCTTCCTACTTTGGCATCCTGAATGCTAGAATTTCTCGTCCGTGTGTGTGTGTGTGTGTGTGTGTGTGTGTGTGTGTGTGATTAAAGATTTTTAAAGATCCATCATCGTCTTCTCTTGATAACCTCTAACCTGAAATGAGCCATAGGTTCTCTTTTCACTAATTCTCCCCCTTTGCCAGCAGAGGGCAGTGGACTGCAGAACCTGCCACCCAGGTGCCCTCCTGGCCCTTAAGCGTTCCCTTGAGCGCTTACTTTCACTTCTGAAGGGACCACATTGCACTGTGGAAGTCCAGAGCGATAAGCTTTGTGTAACCTGGCACTGAGGATACAGAAACCCTAGAAAGTGATGAGCACCTCTCCAGTTCTGTGGGTCCCTTAGCCTTGCTTCTGGCCTCTCTGTGTATGGAGGTCATGGGCTTGTGCAGTGTGACCCTTGGACTTTATTAGTTCCCTTTGGTTCCCGCAGTCAGGTTTGCCCCTGTTCTGTGTGAGAACAGATATGCTTCTAAAGCCAAGTGCTTTTATTCTTTTCCTTTTCCCTGAAGTTTCTTCTTTAGGAACTGATCTCAGCTTCTCCAGGGCTGTGCTGTTAACCAGCAACAGTTCTCATCAAGTTTCATAGATTAGCAGGAGCTGAAGCCAGCCAGGAGCCACCGAAGAAAATAGCCTCCTAAGAATTGTCCAGGGCAGCAGCCAAGAGTGTCACATCTCCAGCTGGTAACAAAAGTCAGCCAAGCGAGCTGTCATCTTCTGAGCTGCAGCCTTTTACAAAGTTCTAGCCTGATTGGAGAAAAGTTCAGAGGTTTGAGTAAGCTGGTGTGGGGGCAGGTAGGTGGGAAATGGGGGAGTCAGTGACCAGAGTGAGAGATAGACAGGAGCCATACAAAGAAAGTCCCCAAACCCTTATTCAGGAATGCAGAATTTCTTTGAGGGCAGAGGGAAGCCACTGAAGGATCCACCAGGATAGCAATGGATGGAAGAGAGTGAGATAGTTGTTGGTAGGGAGACAGGTAGGGTGGTGACAGCCAGCCACCCAAGGGACCTTTGCAGCCTGAACCAGGCTAGTACAGAGAAGAGGGCCCAAGCAGGACACAGAAGGGAGTGTCTAGGACACAGGAGTGGAGGAAAGCAGCAGTCAGCCCAGCCCCCAGGTTTCTGCCTTGGGAGGCGGTGGTGCTGTCCCCTGAGGTCAAGGAGGCTGGGGGAATGTCATGAGTCTCACTTATTTCCCCCCACCTGACTTTCTGGTCAACTGGAGGGGCAGATCCTTCTCCCAACTTCAAAAGATTCAACTGAATTAACAAGACAGGTTTAGTCTTGTTTCTAAAAAAAGATTCTGGCCTGCCTCAGTCACTCCTTTTCAGCCCTTTCCTGGAACACAGTGGAATGGACTGAGTTGCCTTTCCTCTTAGAAGTGTTCTTATTTCCCTCCCCCGCCTTCTTCCTTCTTTTTGCTATCTTTGTATTTAAGTAAAACCTAGTATTAAAGACGTTTGTAATGATGTGTTTACCAGTTAAGCCTAAAAAATCCCCCCCCCGCAACCCCCACCAGTCTCCCTTTCTCCATCCTTTCTTCCCTCTATCACATTAACTGGCCGTGGACTCCTGGTCCTCAGGCCCCAGGCTCCTAAGTTCTAGGTTTACAGATGTGCATGACCACCCCAGCCAAGCTTAAAACTTGTTAAAATAAGTTGTACTTCTGCCTCGAAAGAGCTTTTCTTCATAGATATATAGTCTTTCATTGGAAACTGACTGCAAGAGTGTTTGGAAGCTTAACTGATTTTCTCCTCAAAGATGTGAAATACAGGATTATGGAAGGTTAGAGTCTTTACACAACCTAGTCACACATCTCTGAGTGTTTTCTGGAGAATTCTGTCCACTAATGGAACCATCTTGCTGACACTTTTTCCTACTAAATTGTCTATGTAATCTGGATGGAAGTCTTTTTTTTGGTCTGAGCCCAGGGCATCTTGCATGCTAAGCACACACTGTACTACAGAG